TGACCCGGGGTGGTAGCACCTGTTAGGGTCCCAGCTATGGGCAAATAGTTAACCCCCAAACTATGAAGGTGTAAAAATAGGTTTTAATACCAGAAATACTTCGTGAAAAAGTTATTACCAGCAATAAGTTTTTGAAGAAAAAAATTATTACCAGCAATACATTTCTGAAAAAAAGTTATTACCAGCTATACTTTTTTGAAAAATAAATAAAAAATACAAGCGATACAATTTTGAAGAAAAAATATTACCAGTGATAGATTTTTGAAGGAAAATTTTTTCTGTATCTGTCTATATTTCTGAGATGAGGTATTATGTAAAATTTTTTACCAGTAATACATCTGATAAAAAAAGAGAAATATTACGAGCAATAAAAATCTTGTCGGCATTAAATAATTAAATAACCCATTAAGGTTGATATACCGTAAAACATAACAAAACAAACAAAATAAAATAAGAACCGTGGATAACAGACTTTCACTTATCGATTGCTGGGATCAAATTATAGTGTTTATCGCTTCAGTTTCACAAAGAAAAAAACAACAACGGCAAAATCGAATTCTGGCATAAGAAATATCGAAGTATTATTTACAAGGATTTTTTACATTGAAAAGAAGAAGGGCAAATAAAAGCCATAATTGAACTTGTGTAAACTGGTGAGAGAAGAGAAATTGGGGACGATAAAAATAGAACAAACATTGCTTAGAGCTAAAAATGAGAAGTTTTAGAGAGCCTGAATGGGGTCTAGTCACTGGATCTAACCAACGTTTTCACCACTGGGCCGTGCGTCCTTGGGGACGTTGGTTAGATCCAGTGACTAGACCCAAAGAGTTGTGAGTTCAATACCAGGCCACCGCCGTTGTGAACCAAAACTTAGGGAGTTGAGTTAAAGGGAAATAACTGCGGCATCCAGAAGAGGCATGGCACGTGGAACTAGAACAATCTACCCCAGTGGGCGAAATAAAGGTTTCGCTCCGAAATTCCAATCACCTGAAGAAGGCCGGGGTGTAGAACGGCCGAAACGTTGTGAATATGGCAATGAAGATGAGGATAACAGACCGAATAATGTAAATAATACAAGTAATCGTAATAACTTATGTCAGAGATATAAACAGATATTGAAAAAAATCCAATCACTTGAAGACGGCCGGAGTGTATAACAGCCGAAATGTTGTGAATATGGCAATGAAGATGAGGATAACAGTCTAAATAATGTAAATAATGCTAGGAGCTCAGCATTCATTTCCAGATTTCTAAATATTGCTCTACGACAACCGCTTATGAAAATAGTCTTCATGAAAAACACGCACGCTTACAGAAGAGTGCAAACACCTTTGTAATTATTTATTTGACTTTTCACTATTTTTAAGCTCCGAAAATTGAATTATTTAACATGGTTGAATGTCTTTCGAAATGTGCTTCTATAAAGATCAGGAGTCGGGAAGTAAAGAGGAGACATCTAGTGAATAAAAAGATAAATGAAAACAACAAACCTGAAAAAAAATTACTGAGTCATCGATGAGAAGTTTCTGTAATTAATCATATTGTCATCCAGTTAATATCAAATATGGACTTTTATATATTATTTTTCTTTTTCCTGTAGTGAATTTGAAAGTAAAGAAGGTTTGCTTTTGATTTGTTTTGTTTTACGGCATATTAACTTCATTGGTTTATTTAATGTCGATAATGTATTGCTGGTAATTTTTTTTTCAAAAATGTATTGCTGGTAATATTTTTTTCTGCATAAAGGTATTACTTGTACTATTTTTTTTCCAAAAATGTATTGCTGATAATAATATATCTCTGGTAATAATTTTTTCTTCAAAAATTCATTGCTGGTAATAATTTTCTACAAAAATATATTGCTGGTAATTTTTTTTTTTCAAAAAATGTACTGTTGGTAATAATGTATTGCTGGTAATATTTTTTTCTTCATAAAGGTATTACTGGTAATATTTTTTTTTCAAAAATGTATTGCTGATAATAATATATTTCTGGTAATATTTTTTTTTTCAAAATTTCATTGCTGGTAATAATTTTTTTTTTATAAAAATGTATTGCTGGTATTAAAACCTATTTTTACACTTTCATGATGTTTTGACCCCAATTAGGGGTTAAATATTTGCCCATAACTAGGGCCATAATAGGTGCTACCACCCCGGGTCAGGGTGGACCTGGGAACACCAGCAATTAAGAGGTGGTTCCACGCTCCTCAAAACATCCTGATCAGAGGCGTTGCAGTCGGATATAGTTTATCGTCTTACCCAGGACAGCTCATTGTTGTTGTTGTTGGTGGTGGTGGTGGTGGGATAGGGGGGGGGGCTTACCTCTCTGCAGAGGTGCAGTCGGCGTATTCATAAGCCCCAGCCGACAGGGTGGAGTAAAGAGGAGACATTGAATTAGTAAAAAGATAAATGAAAACAACAAACCTGAAAAAATTACTGAGCCATTGATGGGAAGTTTCTGTAATTAATCATATTGTCAGCTTGTTAATATCAAATATGGTCTTTTATATATTATTTTTTTCTTTTTCCTGTAGTGAATTTGTATAAGAGAGAATGGATTTAAAAGCAAGCAGCGCTCCGTGTTATTACAGGTGAACCTCGAAGACCTTATTGTCAATCAATATTCATATTAAGAACACCAGTTAGTGTCTGCCTGATTAATGGATCAGGTGAAAAATAGATAAATAAGCAAACAGTTCAAAGCAAATATATATCTTTCTCCCAACCATCTACGTCAGCAAAATTCTTCACGGAAATTTCGCTTGTTTCTTTATCCATCAGTCTACCCGAAACATTATTATCCTTAAATGAATTAGGTGTCCTAATAATATTTGGTTATTTGGTTAGTTTAATTTGGCAAAAAGTCTCATGGTTGGATCTCACAACATTAGTTGTGTCCCTTCAGTGTGTCTTTGAGTGTCAAATCTTTTAAACTCACGTTCCTCATGACGTGTATCTTCATGCTTTTTTGTTTCTATTTCCTTAAAATTATTTCTCGTTGCTCAAATGTTTCATTTATGATATTTTCAAAGTCGGAATTAAAAAAAAAAAGATATAGTATCGGCCGGAGTCATCCAGTGATTGCATCAGATTTTCATCACGCCCAGACACTATTGTCTCGACTGTCGATTAGTTGTCCTGTGGCCATTGTCTGCGATGGACGTTACTCCAAGGTAGGGTAAAAAATTGTAACGCCACACGAACACAATGGCAAGTCTTACCAGTGAGCAAATCAAAGTACTATAAAAAAAATCTGGAAACTCTCCCGATTTAAATCCAATCGAGAATCTGTGGTCAATCTGCAAGGAACGACTTCAATGGAATGGACATACGAAATACTAACCTGTGCTCTGGGTCAAAAGTAGGAAAAAAAGTAAATAATAACGGAATTATTCGTTATATTTAACGCCCCCGCCCACGTGGGTCGTATGTGGCACAAGGCCGGGTTTATCGTGGGTTCTCCAAGCCCGTAGTCTCGGCCAAAAAATTCCCTTGGAACCCGCATAGACGGGTTCAGGTCCTGTCTACCTCCCTTCGGCAAAGCCTCGTCTGGGTTCCTCTCTACCGAGGCAGAGAGTTTGACAGTCGAACGGGCTATGGCACCGTTTCAACGGAATTATTTGTTTTGTTTCAATTAATTTGCACAAGGGTATATAACGTCGTTTGGCGGGATGTCCGTATTTCCGACAGGAACAATTTTTGTTGCATGCTGGGAGTAATTTTCTTCTTCTTCTTTTTTTTAAATTTATTTTAAACAGGGTATAATATTATTGTTTTATTTTATTTATAATTTTCATTATTATTATTATTTTATATTTTATTTTTATTTATTTATAATAATAATGATGATATCCCCACAAAAAAAATGAGACTAGCAGAAGGCACTGCAAACATAGATTGGTTGAAATCAAGAATGAGAAAAATTGTAAAAAAGTGCAGGTCATCCATCTTCATCATCTTCTCGAGCAGTCGAAATACAGAATGCAAATATATATATATATATATATATATATATATATATATATATATATATATATATATATATATATATATATATCAGAGGTTTCTACTGTCTCTTTCCGATTTTCGTTTCTATATTTCGTAAAACTTTCTTGTTGCTCATATGTTCCATTTATGGTATTTTCTCAAAACTAGAATTAAAAAGAACGTCCATAAAAGGAAATCAGCCAATCAGAATGGAAATCATTAGACAAGATGGCGTTCGGAAACAAGGATAAAAAAAAAAAAAACATATTGAGAAAAACATAAAAGTACCAGGAATTAATGACAATATTTATTGAAATCAAGAAACAGAAAAAAGATCAGTAGTACGCGTCTCTCAGTGAGAATCGAACTCATTATAGTGATTTACCAAGCGTAGCTTAGATGTAGTACAAGGCAGAAAGTAGGGGGTACCCAGTGAGTATCGAACTCACTACTCAGTCGTAATTGTTCTAGCGAGACAAACTTGCTAACCATTACACTACCTCAAAGTGTCCGATAGTGATTTTCCAAGCGCAGCTTGGATGTGGCACAAGGCCGAAAGTATGGGGCACCTCAGTGAGGAACGAACTCACTACTCAATCGCAACTGCCCTAGCGAGACACGTTTGCCAACCATTACACTACCTGGAGGTGCCTTATCGAACTCATTTTATTTGGATTGTCGAAACACAGAAGCGGGGGATAATAATCATAATAATAATAAAAAATAAATAAATAAAAACGTAAAAAATAAAAATATTGCACAATTTATAGTGACAGGGTAAAAAAAGGAACATTATACTGGGAGGGTTGAAGGCTAGAATTACCAACTTCCACAGCAGAAAATAAATAAATATATTCATACGTACAAGTTTGAGGATGCCACTAAGAATCGAACTAACGCACACGATAGTAGAAAACAATAGCCCCTCCCCGCACTCCTCATATACACACACACGCGTTCCCCACTTCAACAAAAAAAAAATCATGTAAGAAAAAATAGAACAAGTATGAATCATCTCCTGAGAAACGGACACTTTATAGTCGGGATGTCAAATACGAGAATTACAAAAGAAATAAAAATAAGTTGCAAAGAAAGAAAGAAAGAAAGAAAGAAAGAAAGAAAGAAAGAAAGAAACGAAGGGGGAATAAAAAAGGCTGAAATGGAGAGGAAGAAAGAACTAGAGATATAGGGAGACAAATGGGGAGAGAAAGAAAGAAAGAAAGAAAGAAAGAAAGAAAGAAAGAAAGAAAGAAAGAAAGAAAGAAAGGGGAAATGGAGAGGAATAAAGAACGCGAGAATGGAAAGAAAGAAAGAAACAAACAAACAAAGAAACAAAGAAAGAAAAGAGAAAATGGAGAAAGATACAAAAAAACAGAGAAAAATGGAGAGAGAGAAAGAAAGCAAGATAGGGAAAGAAAGATAGATAGAAAGAAAGAAAGAAAGAAAGAAAGAAAGAAAGAAAGAAAGAGAAAAAGAAAGAAAAAATAAATAGAAAGAAAGAAAGAAAGAAAGAAAAGAAAATAAATAAAAAAGAAAAGAAAAAATAAAATAAATAAAAAAGCGCAGGAAAGAAAGAAAGAAAGGAAGAAATAAAGAAAGAAAGGAATAAAAAACGTAAAGAAAAAAGAAATAAAAATGCAAAGAAATAAAGAAATAAACGCAAAGAAAAAAGAAAGAAATTAAAAAAGCGCTAAGAAAGAAAGAAAGAAAGAAAGAAAGAAAGACGCAAAGAAAGAAAGAAAGAAAGAAAGAATGAAAGAAAGAAAAGACAAGAAAGAAAGAAGAGAGAAAAAGCAAAACAAAGAAAGAAAGAAAAGAAAAGAATGGAAAACCATGACAACGATAGAAAACAAAAGAATGAATCATCCATTATGGATCCCGGATTTAGAACCAGAATGGTCTGACAGATTTTGAAACAGTCGACACTATATTTATCACAAAGATTATTTATTTATTTTTTTTATAGCAGTTCACCAATCGAAATTTATGAACTGGAATGAAGTTTATTGAAGGAATAAAAACATTTCTAGATAAGAAAATCTGTTTGACGTTGTATCTTGCCTTAGACTGCAGCAAACTTCGCAAATATGCAGAATCTTTGATTTTCGATCGAAGTCGGATACACATTGCACGAGCTAAGCATGTATTTGCCTTTGGTATCTTGTTTAATGATCAAATCGATTCCGAGAAGTCTGAAGTGTACCTAACTATGGCAGACACTGGTAATGCAGACATTAATTTTTGTTACGTTTGGATGCAGCGCGGAACACACATCAAGATCTTCATTAAAACATTACCCCTGGCTTTCCTACCAGTTCCGCATCGTTGCTAAAATCGTTCTTTCTTTACAGACGCTATTTGTTATCTTCACTGATCAGTTTTTTTTTTGTTATTTTTTTTTCCCCGGGCTTTGCTTACAAGGAGTCATTTGTGTTATGAGCTTACCGTCTCTCCCTTTGTTGTTGCTATTGGCCACACAGAGACCGAGCAGAGGAATAAAAAGCACGTAAAGGGGCGTGTCCGTGCACCACAACCAAACCCATTCGTCCAGACAAACCCCACGATGATGTCATTTTTGAGTTGCTTAGACTAATGCATATTTGCTTCTAAACAATAGCATTTTAGTTGAACACGCAGAATACATATTCACTCTGATGCATATATATATATATATATATATATATATATATATATATATATATTATTTATTCGCAGACAGTTTTGTTTCGCTGTATCACTGCTCCTTAGTGGGACTAGACGCCCGAAAGCCTCAAGCTAGGATCGAAACCCGACCGATTTAGTGTCAGTCGGAATTTCTACCCATAAGCCATCAACACTCGGCAGAGAGAAACTGCTAATTTTAGCGTATTGTTTTTATGAAAGTAAACAAACGACGGTCAGTCAGAGAGCTCGTATTCAGTTCACTGAAGAGCTTTGCGTATATATATATATATATATATATATATATATATATATATATATATATATATATATATATATATATAACTACACTCGTCTCGAAAAACCTTCGTTTTCTTGATTTGCTAATGATCAAATCAATTTCGAAGAAAAAAAAAGTTTTTAAAAAAAAAAAGAGCTAGGAACATGAACGCCTGTCGAGAATAATTGTACAGCATACAGGTCCAAAGCCCAAAGAAAAAAACCCCGATACGAGTAATCAACTAACTAAAAAAGTGCTCAAGACAAAAGTAGAGCAGACCTAGTCAAACCTAGAGAGCCAGACAAACCTACCAAGGTTTCATCTAAGCGGATCGTCAGGGTAAGAATCGAAAATTGTCCATTTTCGATTCTCATCCGTTGAAGTGCAATTGAAATGCACTGAAACGAAGTTGCATCTTTGTATTGAGTAAAATGGTTTTGTCTATGTGATAAAATTATAATAAATGAATAATATATATATATAAGTTATGAAAAACTTGGTAATCCGTATGGGTAGTCCCAAGGAGGATGAAGTCCTGAGAGCTCAATGTAAATCCAGAGCTAATATTTTAAAGAAAAACAGACCACTTTAAGGTTCCATTATAATAATTTATTTCACCAGATCCCTTTTAAAGGACGCCGGATGATCAGATAGCACTTCGAATAAGTGAAACGAAAATGAAAATTTTCTTTTTTCGTTTCATTTTTTGGAAGTGCTATCTGATCACCCGGCGTCCTTTATAGTGTTCCTTCCATGAGACACAACATTTAAAAAACAAACAAACATAAAGACATCGTATTAAATAGTTCATTTAACATTCGTGCCAAATGAATTGGATGAGACTCTGAGTTGCACTGCAAACGTAGATATATGTATATTTATATATATATATATTTTATATATATATATATTTATATATATATATATATATATATATATATATATATATATATATATATATATATTGTCATCTAAATACAGACCGTTTCACTGTATCATAGCTCATCAGTGTGGCTAGACGTCCTGTTGCATCTAGCTAGGATCGAAACTGAATTGGCGTCAATCGGATATTCTACCCCTAAACCGTTGGCGCACGGCAGGGATGAAGGCGAATCTAAGCGTATTTATTTTTAGATAAGCGTACAGGGATCGAGAGTACTCGATTCGTTTTACAGAAGAGTCTTGCATTATTAGCAGTAATAGTCACTGTTTAAAAACTCACACTTCCTTCCCACAGAGCTCAACCGATATAAATTTTATTTATTTTGTTCCTTTACAGATACACATTATCGGAAAATTCTTTACACACACACACGCAAACATACACACCCACCCACCCACTCATACACACATATATATATATGTGTATGTGTGTGTAAATTAGTTTCAGATCGAGTGTATCTGTAAAGGAACAAAATAAATAAAAAGACAAGAGAAAAAACTATTCTTTATACAAATGAAGAGAAAGAACAAACGGATTTAGAATACATAGTTCTCAAGCATTTTTTTTTCTTTTTTTTTTTAAAAGTGCTCAATACAACGTAAAGGTTAATATTTTAATGATATTTTTATTAAATATATTTTACATTGCGAAACGGAAATTTCTTTGTTTTGAGACTTAAATTTTTTATCTCATCATCAGGCAATATTCGGTAACGTTTCGACGAAAATAATTTACATTTGAAAATAGAAAAGAATATGTTTGCTTCTTGAAGATGGAGTGGGGAGAGGATCCAAATTTTAAAATCTTATATATATATATATATATATATATATATATATATATATATATACTGTACAGGGAGTTATCCGTTGGTATAATCTAGGCGAGTCATATTAACACAACATAGAATTTGACTCATGTTATTTTCATTAAACAGAGTAAAATTTTCTTTACAATTGGAATTAAGATACCTTTACTTAATGACCAGTTTGTATCAGTTCCTAGTGTGATATCCCACTAAAAACAGATATCGTAAACAGTTTGAAAAATCCTGCGAATTTTAAAATTAAAATTCGTAAGTGAAAAATGTTCATTAAGTAAAAATATCCTAATTCCAATTGTAAAGTATATATATATATATATATATATATATATATATATATATTCATTTCTGTAGTTCACTACTACCAGCAAGCAGAAAATTATTTTTCTCCTGATGATGTCCACGTTGGCCGAAACTAGTCGAAGAATCTAAAGGAAATAATAATAAAAACGTAGGAATATTAATATACAACCCAATGTGTCTAAAGATTTTAATTTTTAAATATTTTTATTGTTCAATATATATATATATATATATATATATACACACACACACACACACACACACACACACACACACACACACACACACACACACACACACACACACACATATATATGTATATATATATATATATATATATATATATATATATATATATATATAAGTAATTTATTAAAAATCATAAACGTTATAAAATCATTACAAAAATAGCCATTTTGTTTTAACACTTCTGGTGTCTTTATCAAGTGATGGTATTGAATGTATACACCAATCCTATATATATATATATATGAAATGGATAAAGTCTGACACTTATTTTAAGTCAGTTTTGTTCTTCTTATAGATACAAATATTTAAGTAAATTCTCTGTCTATAATAAACAGTATTAAACAACATTTACCGGCCTGTATGTCCGAGAAATTTTTATGGAAAATATGCGTCCTCCGACAAGAATCAAACCTGTATCCTATCAATCGGTAAGAGCACGTCAGGCTATATGATGGTTCCGTATAGGATACAGGTTCGATTCCTGTTGAACGACGCATATTTTCTATGAAAATTTCTCGGTAAATGTCGTTATTATTGTTTATTATAAACAGAGCATTTACTTAAATATTTGTATCTATAAAAAAAACGTATACACATAAAAATGTCTTAATATATATATATGAAGAAAAATATACGGTAAAAAACAAACAAAAATCCTTATATGCAATTATACTGTCATGTTGAATTGATAATGTTAATTATATTTTATGAATATGTCCTGAAGATGGTTTATTAGACCGAAACGTCCGACGCTGACATTATATTAACATTAAAACAGCATAATTGCATATAAGGATTTTTGTTTGTTTTTTCTGTATATTTTTCTTCATACTGTCGGATCTATATCCATATATTTGCTTACATTTATATATATATATATCAAATATATATATACATCAAATTTAAGCCGAAGTGTATCATTTATATATATATATATATATATATATATATATATATGGTAACTAAATGATACACTTCGGCTTAAATTTGATGTTTTGTTGATGAAATTACATATGTACAGGGAGTGGAAGTGTAGATATGAAAATGGAAACATTACTTATAATATTTCACGACTTTCGACCTTGTGCCACATCTAAGCCGGGCTGAGAAAATCAATATTTCACTTTCAGGAAACGCTAAAGATATTGGCGCGCTGAAATTTAAAAGTTTTAAATTAATTTTTTTTTTCTGCTCAGACACATCTGGGTACGTAGACGGGTCGATTTCATTCCTTTTATTTCCACTTCTCTCTTTGTTTTTATCACTACATATATAATTCCATCAACAAAAACATTATCAATAAAATCGTTACACATACTATTTTCCACTATGTTCTTCATTTGCATAACACTCTTTCAGATAGATACACATTTATATATCATATTTTTGCATATATATGTATGAACACTAATTTGGGTGGACGCTTACATCGATTCATACCCATGAGTACTTACGGGGACTTTATTCGCGAGTCGTACTGAATACATCATCCCAGTCGAACTGATATGAATAATTAATCGGACAGGAGCGTTTGAAAAACATTTCCTGTGTTGTGCCACACCCCACACCCTGATGCTACTGCCAACAACTTATTAATGTTGTTGCTG